ACAAATGAGAATCTAGTTTTGCATCAGAAGGCTAGAGTGAGGTGGATAAAGGAGCAGGACAGGAGTTCAAATTTTTTTCATCAGAAAATTAAAGAGCACAAAGCTGGAAATAATATTACTGCTATTCAAGATGCTGATGGAATGATTAATCATGATACCAAAGTGATACTGGAGTTGTTTGTTCAACACTTTAAGAAGAGCTTTACAACTGATTACACAACAAATCTTATACCCAAAGAGGAGTATATCAGAAATAGAGTTGCAGTTGAGGATATGGAGGTTTTAGAAAGATTGGTTTCCAATGAGGAAGTGAAACAAACTTTATTTTCAATTAGTCCAGACAAGGCACCTGGGCCGATGGATTCACAATGAGATTTTTTCAGCAATACTGGGCTATTGTAGGGATGATTTCACTGAGGCAGTCAAGTTATTCTTCGTTAATCCAGTTATGGGAAAAGGAGTTAATAGTGCCTTTATCATCCTTATTCAGAAGAAGAAGGAGGCTATCAAGGTGGGACCTATCTCTCTTTGCAATGTGTTTTATAAGGTAACTGCAAAGATTTTGGCAAACAGACTATCAGGTCAGGGCGTTGGAGTATGCTTTTTTGAAGGGTAGAAAGATCAAGACAACGTCATTTTAACACATGAATTATTGAGAGGCTTTGGTACTGAACATGCCAAACCTACTTTGGCTTGGAAAGTGGACTTGAGGAAAGCATGTGACTCATTACAATGGAATTTTCTTTTCAAACTTTTACACCTATATGGCTTTGGAGGTAAATTAATAATTTAGGTGAAGGAATGTATATCTTCAGTGTGGTTTTATGTTCTTATTAAAGGCAGCCTATTTGGTCACTTTCAACCTGAGAAATGTCACTCTGATCTTTTTCATTTTCGTATCTAAATCCTAATATATCCTTAAATCACCTTAATATCTTTTTCATTTTCGTATCTAAATCCTAATATATGTTAAATCACCTTAAGGTTGTGTAGGGTTTGAGTGATTGATGAAAGCTTTGCATCACTAAGAGCAAGCTTAGAACTTTGGTTGCTTAGTGGTTGCTTTATATAAAAGGGTTATCTAATGCTAAGAAGATTGAAGAATACAGTAATAACAACTAAATATCATATTTATAAGCAACCAAAATTTATAAGAAAATTCTAAACAAATATATACAAACCTACACAACCTTTTATTGGTTTTCTAAATGGCTTGATGTATTGGACAAACTATAATAAAAGTCAACATTACATATACCTCTTCGGTTGAAAAAGTTGATAGTTTGTGTTTCGAGCATAAACATAAAATTTATTTACTTTGCAATTTTGCAATTTTTTAAATCCTAATTCCCCTAAGATTGGTTCCAAAAAGTGTTCCGGTTCTTGCTGTGTAACATTTTCTCCAAAACGAAGAAAGAGTTCCTTTGTTAGTCATTAGACACACACACAAAAAATAATAATAATAAATATAAATAAAAAAACCCCAAAAGGAATTCTGTACTTTCCATTCCACCAATGCTGATGAGCCTCATGGGCGAACTTATTCCTCTTTAGGCTGGCTTGTTAATTTAAAAAGCTTCAAAATGACAAAACTAAGCTCAAGCGAGGTTTAAAAAGCTTCAAAATGACAGAACTAAGCTCAAGCGTGGTTTTGAACAAATCAGCTGACAATTTTCTGTGGCAGGACTAGAGAAACATGCAACTAAGCAAGTATGCAACAACACTAGTAATTTTTTATTAACAAGCTACTGCATCTAGTGAGTAGGTTTTTAAGAAAAATAAGATCTGTGAAGGCAATACAGATTACAAGCAAGCGGATCATAACAATATAAAATTATGATCCTACGAGATCTATCCTTATTTTTGGAGTCTCAAAACCATGGGTGGATGAAGGTCCAACTTGCTGGGATAACCAGAACAAAATGGCCAAAGGGGAACACAATGTATTCCCCATCAGTTGCAAAAACAAAATCAGCTGGATCCCCGTCCATTTCACATAACCAACCAATTTTCGAATTGGCAGTGATGCTAATGAAACAATGCATCAATCCTACTAGCTGTTACTGGGCCTACGCCATCGCAGACAGATACGCATACAATTACCATACAGCGCGAAGAAGGCGAACAAAGGCGAACAAAAAATTGGCCAATAATTTTACACAATAACAAATCTCATACAGATGGAGATGGAGCTAGACAGAAGATTACAAAAGCCTAACAGCCAAAAATCAACGAAAAGGAGCACGGAATAATGCTGGAATTGGAATCATGACAGAATCTAATCGATATCAATCAATGATTTATAATTTCTATAAGAAAGATGAGTGGATTATTTGAATTATACAAATCCATTCCAACTGTGTAAACTAAGCATAAAACAAATGCAGAATATCATATACTAGGAATTGGCAGTACAGCTAAACACATTGGGGGACAAATAAGAAGAAACACATATATATAAGGGTAATTCAGCTTCAAAATTTTGGAGTAACTCAAGCCGTTAAGTCACAGTCTACCCATGGTGTTGTCTCCACCTAGTTTGTTGATCATGGTTCCTACCATTTTCACCTTCACTTATATCAGAAGTCCCTTCACCAAACTGTTTTGCCACCTAATTTTGTTGAGGCGTGTGATCCATTTCTTTACGACCACAATGACGACAAGAAGGTTCTCTACCAATTCTCCGTTCCTGAAAATTAAGAGAAACAATGGATAAATGGATAGAGATTTCAAGTAATAATGGAAAGATCGTCCTACTTTACTATTTCTATTATGCTGAACGAACGAACTTCATAATTTGAGAAAACAACAACAGAGAAAAACTAGAAAGAAACAGAGCATACATCATGGAATATCTGCCACAAGCAAGTGGATAACATGTCTCATTTTGGGCCTTTTTTGTGCATCAGGATCTACACATCTAAGAGCAACCAAAAGGACTCGTTTCAGCGCTTTTGAAGCTGGCATCTCCGGCAACTTAGGATCCACCACTTCCACGGATTTTCGATTTCCTACCATTGTTTTCAACCAATCCACAAAACTCCCCTGAAATTATTTAATCATTTTTCTTATTGTATGTCAGGAACTCGGTAAAAGTGGTGGCAAAATAACAGCTTCCAACAAATATTAAAAGACTAACCTCTCCCTGTGGTCGACTGTAATCAACAGGGTTTCTCCCAGAAATTATTTCCATTACAAGTATTCCAGAGCTATAAACGTCACTCTTCTCGTTTAACATACCAGTGCAAGCATATTCCGGTGCAACATAGCTAGATAAACCACAGGTATATTAGTTATTATCCTACTTGAATGAACAAATCAATGATTCTGTAACTGTATTCATTCATTAACATGAATAAACAAATTGCTATTTTATTACAAAGGAAAAGAACAAACAATTTACGACGGGAAGCTAACCCTAATGTTCCCATTACCCGAGTTGTCACATAACTCCTCTCAGAGCATAAGAGCTTAACAAGCCCAAAGTCAGACAGCTTAGGTTCAAGGCCTTCATGAAGATAGGCCAATCTGGAACAACAGAAGTTCATAAACACAGATTGAGCTATGTCTGCAAGCAATATTTGGAAATCACAAACACAAAACTAAATTTAAATGATCGAGATGGATACTTCCCCAACATCTCCATGAAGCCGTTGGTCCAAATTCCCATTGTCCACATACTCATACACAAGCATCCTACAACAAAGAAATTATACATAAAAAGATAGTTGAGCTTCTCGGCTTAAGCTTTTCGGCTCCAAAGAAAATCAGAGCTCAATTTCATATTTCAAGATTATAATTAGTACCTGTAAGCCCCTTCAACACAGTATCCTAGCAACCTGACAAGGTTTTTGTGTCTTACATGCCCAATTACTTCCACCTCGGCTTTAGACTCCTTATCAGCCTGACTCCTGATAGTTGATCAATCTCATGAGCTTATGAATATGAGAGAAATTGGAAATATCGGATGAAAAAAATAAATAAAAAAATTGAGGATTTTGTTCAACTAGAAAAACAGAATCCAAAAAAAAAAAAAAAAAAAGAAAAGAAACAAAGGTTAAAAGTGCACTAAAGTCAAAATGTAGGAACTAGGAAGCAAGGAACAGAAGGCATAAAGCAAAATCCGAAGAACAGTACAATACTACTCAACTGGATATTAAAGCTTTGACATTCCATCATCATTTCCTAATCTAATCTTCTCTGAAATTTGACTAAACACTGCATTTGAATCCTAAAGTAACCAATTTATGTCTGATTCCAGATAGAAATGGATTGAAAAAAAAAAAAAAGAAAGCTCTTTTTTTCAGAAATCAAGTCACTTTAGAGCACAAGTTATGCATAAAAGGGCAAAAATAACGAACGAAAGCAAAGAATCAAGCAATCCCAGTAAATCATTACAATAAATCATCTAATAGAAGAGCAGTTCATATTTTCAAGACAATAATTCACTAAATTTCTTTCTCAAATCCTATAGCTTGTATATATAGTATACCTATAAATTTACATCTACAATAGATACAGATATATGAAGAGTAGTTCAGAATTAAACATGCGAGTGAATTAAGCAAATCAAAACCTGTTATTCAGTAAATTCTTCACCGCCACTCGAGTATTATCTGCCAATACACCTGGTTACACAATAACATAACCACCTTCAGCAATCACATTTTCATCAGATTTGCCGTTGGTAGACGCCTCAAGCTCTCTCACCGTGTGCCACCTCCCCAACTCCAAACGCGACACCTCCAGCATTCCACCTCTACCGAATGACACCGTATCCGTGGCACTCGGCAACCTGCTCTCCCCACTCGACGGCCGATCAGAGAACACCACTCTGTGCTTGGCCTTACCTATGTCCATCTGGATCTCCAGCACCGCCAGAGGAACCAACGGGCGGTGATCCGGTGCGGTGTCATGCACGATCTCCTGGATTTCCTTCGATACCAACGGAGTGAACTCGCTGCCCCTCCTGACTCCGGCGTTGGGAGACAGTTGATTGATTGCTAGTTAGAATCTTCATAAGTTTCTCCATCATCAGAAAGCTCGTCAAATGATCGCATGTCAAGCTGGTATCGGAGGATTCCACCAATTCCACCAAAACCTCTGCAGAACTGAGATCCTTCCTGTGATTTGTTGGTAACGAACTCAAGTGTGCAACCAAAACGTTTGTACTCATTAGCAAACCACTCGAGCAGTGATGTTTTCTCCTGAACCTCCAATTCGGCAGATGTGGCTGAATCCCGGAAATTACTCTGTTTGCCCTCTTGCTCCTTGTTGAAGTGTTTGACGACAATTTCACCAGTAGAGCTATTTTTCAGCAGATACCTATTAATGTCTAGATTTTCCCAGACAATAAGGGTCTCAACAGCACCCATTTCCAAAGCTTTCAGCGTGTCATCCACACCAAAAACATATTTGCCAGTATCTTGGCTGATTTCCTCAAAGTACTTCCCTATCAAGCGCTTCTCCTGTACAAACTTCACATTGGAGAGGATCTCGGAGGACAGCTCAATTGCCTGGTTAAAACCATTTTCATATAGTTGTGGCAGGATTGATAAAAAAAACTGTGTGGCAAGCTCAGCTGTCTTCCTCACATAGTTGTGGCGCTTCTCCATTCCAAGACGATCGAATCTCGCAGCTGATTGCCCTCCTCTTCCATGTTTCTTTGGAAGATCAACAGTAAATTTGTGAAGCACCTCTCGGGTGTTTCCACTTAACGTCCCAAAGAGGGTCCCATTCCCATCCATAGCAATAAAGCCAAACTTGTCACCAGATTCTAGAAGTTCATTCAGAGCTTCTGTATGGAATTTGTTGTCACAGAGATAAAGAGAGGCATTTATGGGCCTGAAGGGCTCAAAGTCAATAGTAACCTTTTTTTCTTTCCCGTCTTCAGTTACAATTGTTCCTGTATAAAGCACTAGTCCTTTCGGCGGAACCTTATTGTAAAGCTTAAGCCTCTGCTGAGCAGACGTAATTGCTCCAAGGACGGACTGGCGATTCACCCTACTTTTGATATTTGAAGCAGTTCCGAACTCATCCCCCAGCATCTTTGTAGCCCGAGATATCCGATCGCGTGGAGGCATAATAAGAGAGATCATGCTGGTGCCATTGCCTCTAGCAGCTTCCAGTGCCTTGATCAGCTTCTTGATTTTCCATATCTCAATGTTCTTATCAGTTTCATCACCATCTGCCATTGCAAGATATACAAACTGCCGAAACAGTAACAAATTACCTGCATCAATAACAATAATAAACTTAACAATTAAGAAGTTTCCAGAAGGAAAAAGGCTTAAAGACTACGGTTACAGAAAAAAAGAACAATATATATATATATATATATATATATATATATATACTATTGTTAAATTTTTAGTATTTCAGTATTTATTTATTAATTGATATAAATTCTATAAAATTCAAAATTTTCTAATAAAATTAAAATTAATAAAATATAAAAAAAAGTTTAAAATTATAAAGTCCTACATTGATTTTAAATAAAAAGAATTACATGAAAGTTTCTTATAAAACTATAAAGCTAAATTCAAATTACAAAGTCCCACGTTGGTTTTAAATAAAAAAGATTACATGAAAGCCTCTTATAAAACTATAGAGCTAAAGAAATAATAATCATACATTCTCAGCCTTTAGGCTTAGATCAAGTGTAATACTAAATTTTTTTGGGTCGGCCTTTTGGCTAACATTTCTTGATCTTTTGGCTAAGATCAAGTGTAGTACTAATTTTTAGGCCTTTGTGCAAAGAGTTTCACTAAATGTGCAAAGTGTTTTAGTGTTTCAGTATTTATTTATTAATTGATATAAATTCTATAACACTCAAAATTACCTAATAAAATTAAAATTAATTCAAATTAACAAAATATAAAAAGAGTTTAATTCAAATTACAAAGTCCCACATTAGTTTTAAATAAAAATGATTACATGAAAGCCTCTTATAAAACTATAGAGCTAAATTCAAATTCAAAGTCCCACATTAGTTTTAAATAAAAAAGATTACATGAAAGTCTCTTATAAAACTATAGAGCTAAAAAAATAATAATCATACCTTCACGGCCTTTAGACTAAGATCAAGTGTAGTACTAAATTTTTTTGGGTCGGCCTTTTGGCTAACCTTTCTTAGTCTTTTGGCTAAGATAAAGTATAGTACTAATTTCTCGACTTTTGTGCAAAGAGTTTTAGTATTTATTTTTTAATTGATTGATATAAATTCCATAAAACTCAAAATTACCTAATAAAATTCAAATTAGAAAAATATAAAAAGAGTTTAATTTACAATAAAGAGCTCTCGTTAATTATTATATCCCACGATATAAATTATATAAAACTCAAAATTAACTAATAAAATTAAAATTCAATCTATAATCAATTGTGCTTAACCAAATGGTTTATAAATTAACTTATTTATCCATTTATTATTATGAATTTTTTTAATAAAAGAAATCTAATTAGACAAAAATTATTAATATAAAATATTTATTAATTGATATATAAGAAAAATTAATTTTTCTAAAACTCTATCATAAATTAGCTTTTATTATGAGTTTCTTAGTAAAATTAAATCTAATTAGACAAGGATATACATTTAAAGAAAATAAACTAATTTTTATAAAACCCTATCACAAATTACCTATTCTATTTTTAATAAAACTATATTACACAGAACAAAGATATATTTAAAGAGTTTCTATAAAACTCTAACCCAAATTACCTATTTATCTATCCATTATGAGTTTTTTAATAAAAAGAAATCTAATTAGACAAGTATTGTTAATATAAAAAATTATTTATTATTGATATAAAAAGAGGTTTTAAAAGAGTTTCTATAAAACTCTAACACAAATTACCTATTTATCTATTTATTATGAGTTTTTTAACAAAAATAAATCTAATTAAACAAAAAAATTTAAAATAAAAAATATTTATTAATTGAAAATTACCTAATAAAATCATGCAAAGTGTTTCAGTATTTATATAAAAAAATATTTATTAATTGATATAAAAATAGTTTTTGTAAAAATAGTTTCTATAAAATTCTAAAAATTACCTAATAAAATCAATCACATTCTATATAAAACTCTAATTTTTAGTTCAATATAAAGAGAATAGTTATTTTTTATAGATAATTATCACAATATAACCGGCCCGGCCCAGTTATGATTATGTAATTATCAAAAAAAAGGACACATGTCATCATCTTATTAATCCTTATAAATAGAGGGAAGGAGAAAGGGGTACAGAAATTCAGAATTCCAGAATAAAATACAGAAACTCTGCCAAACAGTTTCAGTATTTTAGTATTTATTTATTTATATAAAAAAATATTTATTAATTGATATAAAAAAAGTTTTTATCTATACTATTATTAGATGTGCAAAGAGTTTCAATATTTAAGTACAAATTACCTATTTATCTATTTATTATGAGTTTTTTTAATAAAATTAAATCTAATTAGACAATAATTATTAAAATAAAAAAATAGTTATTAATTAAAAATTACCTCGTAAAATGTTTCAATATTTCAGTATTTATTTATTTATATAAAAACATATTTATTAATTGATATAAAAATAATTTTTGTAAAAATAGTTTCTATAAAACTCTAAAAATTACCTAATAAAATCAATCACACTCTATATAAAACTCGAATTTTTAGTTCAATATAAAAAGAATAATTATTTTTTATGGATAATTATAGCAATATAACCGACCCGGCCCAGTTATGATTACGTAATTATTATTAATCCAAGAAGCTTATAAATAGAGGAGCCTATAAATAGAGGCATGGAGGAAGGAGGAATGGTACAAAAATTGAGAATTCTAGAAATCCAGAATTTTAGAGTAAAATACAAAAACTCTTTTTATCTATACTATTATTAGATGTGCAAAGAGTTTCAGTATTTAAGTATTTATTTATTTATATAAAAATAATAATTAAAACACTAAAATCTAGATAATAAAATTTAAATTAATCAATTTATCTATTTATTATTATGAATTTTTTAATAAAAGAAAATCTAATTAGACAAGAATTACTAATATATAAAATATTTATTAATTGATATATAAAACAAAATAATTTTTCTAAAACTGTACCACAAATTAGTTTTTTTATGAGTTTCTTAATAAAATTAAATCTAATTAGACAAGAATATATTTAAAGAAAATAAAATAATTTCTATAAAACTCTATCACAAATTACCTTTATTTTCAATAAAACTCTATCACACTAGATAAAGATATATTTAAAAAGTTTCTATAAAACTCTAACACAAATTACTTATTTATCTATTTATTATGAGTTTTTTAATAAAAGAAAATCTAATTAGACAAGTATTATTAATATAAAAAATTATTTATTAATTGATATAAAAAGAGGTTTTGAAAGAGTTTCTATAAAATTCTAACACAAATTACTTATTTATCTATTTATTATGAGTTTTATAATAAAAGTAAATTTAATTAAACAAGAATTATTAAAATAAAAAGTATTTATTAATTAAAAATTACCAAATAAAATAATGTAACATGTTTCAGTATTTCAGTATTTATTTATTTTTATAAAAAAATATTTATTAATTGATATAAAAATAGTTTTTATAAAAATAGTTTCTATAAAATTCTAAAAATTACCTAATAAAATCAATCACATTTTATAGAAAACTCTTATTTTTAATTCAATATAAAAAAAAAATAGTTATTTTTTATGAATAATTATCACAATATAATCTGCCGGGCAGTTATGATTATGTAATTATCACACATATTATCATCGTACTAATCCAAGAAGCCTATAAATAGAGGCATGGAGGAAGGAGGAAGGGGTATAGAAATTGAAAATTCTAGAAATCCAGAATTCTAAAGTAAAATACAGAAACTCTGCCAAAGAATTTCAGTATTACAGTATTTATTTATTTATATAAAAAAATATTTATTAATTGATATAAAAATTTATTAATTGATATAAAAAGAGTTTTTATCTCTACTATTATTAGTGCAAAGAGTTTCAGTATTTATTTATTTGTATAAAAAATATTTAAAAAACTAAAATTTAAATAATAAAATTTAAATTAAGCTATTTATTTATTTATTGTTATGAATTTTTTAATTAAAAAAAATCTAATTAGACAATAATTATTAATATAAAAAAATATTTATTAATTGATATATAAAACAAAATAATTTTTGTAAAACTCTACCACAAATTAGCTTTTATTATGGGTTTATTAATAAAATTAAATCTAATTCGACAATGATATATCTAAAGAAAATAAAATAATTTTTATAAAACTCTATCAAAATTACTATTTTATTTTCAATAAAGCTTTATCATACCAGACAAAGATATATTTAATTGATATAAAAAGAGGTTTTAAAAGAGTTTCCATAAAACTCTAACACAAATTACCTATTTATCTACCTACTTATCTATTTGTTATGAGTATTTTTAATAAAAGTAAATCTAATTAGACGAGAATTATTAAAATAAAAAATATTTATTAATTACAAAATTATCTAAATAATATCAATCATATTCTCTATAAAACTCTTATTTTTAGTTCAATATAAAAAGAATAATTATTTATTAAAAAGAGTTTTTATTATATGCAAAGAGTTTCAGTATTTATTTATTTATATAAAAAAAATATATAAACACTAAAATCTACTAACACAAATTACCTATTTATCTATTTATTATGAGTTTTTTAATAAAATGAAATCTAATTAGATAAGTATTACTAATATAAAATATTATTTATTAATTGATATAAAAAGAGGTTCAAAAGAGTTTCTATAAAAAAACTCTAACACAAATTACCAATTTATCTATTTATTATGAATTTTTTAATAAAAGTAAATCTAACTAGACAAGAATTGTTAAAAGAAAAATATTTATCAATTGATATAAAAAGAATTTTTAAAAGAGTTTATATTAGACTCTAACACAAATTACCTATTTATTTATTTATTATATATTTTTTAATAAATGAAATTCTAATTAGACAAGAATTATTAATATAAAAAATATTTTTTAATTGATATAAAAAATAAAATAATTTTTCTAAAACTCTATCACAAACTATCTGAGTTTTTTTTTTAATAAAAGTTAATCTAATTTGACAAGAATTATATTTATTAATTGATATAAAAAGAATTTAACTCTAACACAAATTACCTATTTATGTATTTATTATAA